TACGTCCTTGGTACAGACAAATACGTCACACTGAATGTAGTATTAGTATTTATAAAAAAGGATAATCATAATTGTATTTATTCTGTTGTATTTGATTATGTTTATACAATTTGTAGAGTTAAATCATCTAAATAGTCTACTGAACTAAAAGAAAATACATACATTTAAATATATATATATATATATATTAATTAAGGGAGGTAGAGTGGATAGATAGGAGAACATTTTGGTGTTGTGTCCAAATCACATTGTTATTGTGGGATTTGTTCTTTCTGCTGGGTTGTGTATTGCTCTTTACATGAACTCTTAAACATTAAGTTTTATAAGCTTCTTAGTTAAAGAAAATGACATTTTCTACAATAAAAGGGGTATGAACATGAGGGAGAGTTGGTCACTGGGGAAAGATGGTTATCCAAGAGAGGTGTCGGGTCTAGAAGAACTCCTGTCCTGAACATAGGACTTTTTCTTATGTTATAAAAGCTTGTGACTTTTAACTTGCTGCAAATGATGGCTCAAGAAGAACTGATGATTTGTAGCGCACCCAGAATGGCTAATCATACTCTTCCCTGAGGATCAACATTGGTATGGAGGAAGCACAGATGACTGAGGATCATTGCAACAATGTGGTGTCTGATGAGCCAGAGATGGGGTTGAATAGCCTATATAGAACTCCCAGACTTATGCCAGCGAGAGTAACTTAACCTCAGTTCTGATTGAAGCCCCCTAAGAACATTAAAGAAAGACTAAAGGCACACTTTGTAAAAAACATCTGCCAGCTAGAATTATCTCACCAGCACATGACACAATGGGTACTGAATAGCCAAGTAATGAGAGTATGGAGCAGTGGTGATTTTCCTCAAGCCAAGAGGTATGCTGCTGAAATGGACATAACCCACACAGGAGCTTGGGATTGAGCAGAACTAACAAATGATATGCCTAGAATACCTCGTCACTCCCTAGATTAGAGGCTTACCACTAGACAGAATGTTGGGGTTCCTGAAAGCTTCTACACTGTGCCTGTGATGTTAAAAACATCTCAGTAAGATGGTGGCTTGGAAGTCAAAAAGGAAAGTGTGTGGCTACAATCATGGGGAACCATGATTGAAGCAAATTAGATCTCTCCACCAACATTTAAAGGCACAGAAAATGGTGGCTTATACCATTTCCTGAAACTTTTCAGGCAAGTAACTGCCTGGAATGGCTCGACTCTATAACAGGTAGTACAATGCCTGGTTCTGAGCCTAGATAGTCTGCCCCTAAACCCCATTCAGTACTTACGTGAAGATCAGCTCTGAGACTGTGAGAGAGTTATCATTGAATTGACATAGTCAAGGCTCAGAAGAAGGGTATCACAGAAAATTTGACCAATTATACTTACCTTGCAGTGGCTTCAGACATTCACATGGATATTTGCTTTAATAAGTAAGTTCATGGAAGAGCTATCACGTGAGAAAATGTGAATGTGAAAAATCTTCTCACCTTTACTAAAGCAGTTTCTGTCATGATGTGGTACGAAGCATTAACTCTGAACTGGTTGCAAATGAAAAAGAAACCTGTAGCACACCTATAGTGGCTTTACCTCAGATAGACTGCTCTTCCCAAGCACCCACATCATGTCAGGTTTGAACAGGTTGGTCAACCAACCAACCAATCATACATCCTGACATAGTGATACAACCACGTCAGTATTCAGCGAATGGGCAGCACTATCCCAGTCCTTATACGGTTTATATGTCCCAACATATTTTGTCCATATACCCACCAAGGCATCATTCTAGAAGGGAGGAGCAAAGCATCTGTTTTGCTAATGGATCACTTTCAAGTAAATTGTCCATACCATAACAAAAAACAAGGTAGACAAATCTGTCAATTTCAACTGATGATGCAAATAGTTCAGATGAGCCAACAGCAATGAATACTGCAACTGTAGCTCTGGAAAACTAGAGCAGCCCAAATTGATGTAATCATCAACTTGAGGAATACAATGAACAATATGCACCCAAAAATATAGTAGTCAGCCCATCCCTTTCATTGCTGGGTGGATCTTGATATGTGCCTGTTGGAGTACAAGGGTATTAGGAGTGGTCAGAATGCTAGTAAATCTTGTGGTATATTTGGTGCTCCAAAGAAACCAACTACTCAGGCTAGTTGACAAAACGTTTTCTTTGAAAAGGAAATAAACAAAATATAAATGAATAGGTCATGCTCCAACTGTATCTAGGAGGTTTTGCTTGCAGAAAGTTGGTAATTGTCATTGGCCATAGTTCTAGCATTGGTATCTTGGGCATAGGTGTACTGTGGAGCCTTATCGGTCAGTTTTGTCTGTTCAATAAGTGAATGGATGTCCCATGGTATAGTTATCCAATATTAACCAGATTGGCCTCAGAAACAATTAACAGCACAAATGTATGTGGGAGAGGAAATAACAGTACTCTCATGTACACAAGTGGTGTTCTGTGGTTGATAACAGACAATGTATGTCTAGTGTGCTGGTACCATGTAACGTGAGTACAGAACCCATGCCCGAATTAAGCTGTTTCCTGCTCAGAAAGTAATCAACATTAGACATGCCTTGTCTAAAGATTAATACATAGATACCAGCACATCTGAGATTGGTAGTTGAGGTTGTGCAGACAATCTGGAATCAACACAGAGGCAGCAACTGAGTGAATCGATGGTAGAATATTTCTATGTATTTATGGGACCAGACGACCAAATGGATCGAATCACAGTCATTTAACGTTGCATAAATACAGACGTCCAATTAAACAACCACAGCACAGGCTCTCATGAAACATGTGAGCTGTAGCCAGCACTGACGTACAGAGGATGTTAAATGATGAAATTATACAACCTTCAGAGAGTGCATGGCTATCTTCATGTGACGGTCATTAAAGATGGAAAGCATGTCTTGATTCTGCATTAATTTTGGATGGTGAACATGATAACTTGGATTGACCCCTTTCCATTACCATAAATAAATGAATGTTCAGATACTGGCATGTCAAACTAGATGATGAAAGCAGACCCAAGACTGCTTTTAGCATGAGAGCTGGCTTATAGGCTTATTTGAATCATGTTGTTCGGTTTGTGTAACATGCCAGCCAATTCCGAGAGGCTAATGAAGTTTAAATGAATGGATTGCATTCCATTGAAACATAAGGGAGATCAAAACCTCAAAATATTACTTGACTGCAAATGGATGTCTAACTGTTTGTTTGTTTGTTTAGAATTTCACGCAAAGCTACACGAT